TGTGTTTGGCTTGTTTATCGCTTCAATTCGCAGTGCCTAGTATAGTGTGGGACACAAGAGGCATTTTCTCTTTTCAGAAATGAAAATTTAAGCTTATGGAAATCTGGCAAAAGTTCTGTGGCTTCTCCGAATTCTAGGTGGAAAGTCTGTGCCTGTCCCCTCAGATCTGAGGCTGCCCAGGCCCAGGTGCCATCTGTTACTTAGAATTCACCTTGTCTAAGACTAACCTCAGCTTCTTTTCTTCTCCTCTGCCTCAGCTCCCTATTACTGTACTCTCAGACATCAAAATGAAAACTTTACAGTCATATCCAACTCTCCTTCCTTTTTTTTTTTTGTTAATAGTTCTTCCATTCAAAATGTTCACTCTTTTAATATTTACTTGTTTTTTGGCCTTTCCATTTTACCTCTTACTTTTAACCTGATACTTCCTATTTAAGAACCATCAGTTCCTTCCTAGAATTTGTAAGAAAAAAGACTACCTTGTGGGCTGCATAGAGAGTCCTCCAGGGTCCGCCTGTAGTGTGCTTTCATGGTTCAACCCCACAGGTACCAAACACAATTCTTTATTAACTCTGCATGCTCCTTCCTGCTTGGTCCTCTGCTCATGTTGGTGCCCCTGTCACTAAGGCCCCAGCTGCTTCTCTTTGTCCTAATCCTTCTTTAAGGTAAAAATATTGAGAATATGAAATTCAGACAGACAGACAGACAGAAGACAGACAGACCATGTCTCCTAATCTCAGCTCTACATATTCACCTTTTAACCTCAACCCATTTTACTGTGAGTTAACATTTTTCAAGAACTGTGGGTCATCATCCACAACTTGAATGTCATTTTTTTGATTTTAGCTTTTATTCTGAAAGTTAGAAGGATCCAAATTCTCCATGTCCTTCCATGGTCATCATCCAAATCAAGATGAACTTTTAGAATGAGAAACTAGTCCTAGGTGCTATGTCAGAGGTAAAAATGTAAAAGTATACAGTCCCCTGATTTATATTCTCCAGTGTCTTTTACAGATTCAGGATAAGGGCTGGTTCTTCCTTGTCTCCTGTTAGCTCTAAGGAGGACATTTCTGTGTGCTTCTAGGATTGCCCCATTCACAGTTCACAGGCAGGGCCTCCTCCTGGGGGAAACAGCCATGGGACAAGCTGCTCCCGTGAGTACTGTAATTGTGCTACAACCAGTTGGCAAGTTTGGCCAGGGGTGACTGCTCTGTATCTTTGACTTGTTCCTCTATGACAGCCACCTGTCTCAGGAGAGTGGCTTTGAAGGCCCCAAACACACTGGAACTGTCACTGGAGCCGGAATTTCCTTATCTTCCACGAGATGCCAGTAATTATTGGCCCTGTGACAGTGGCTGTCAGAATGAAGGGTTTTCCTTGTGACTCTTTGCTATGGAATCATTGTTGGCTCTGAACCTTCACTGAGAAGTTGGTCTTCCTTCTGTGATGAAGGATGCTCAGTGCTGTCCCAAAGAAGGGAGGATTCTCAACATGGCCCTGGTCTTTCCAGCTTCCTACAACTCTATAGAAGAGTCTCCTTTCACTTAAGGGCTTTCTGTATATTCTCACTGAAACGATACCACAACAGTGTCCTGCTAACCGATATTAGATCCTCAAACAGTTCAGGAAAATATTTGGGCTTATTAATGACAAATACTCTGATTCTTAAATGAAACTGAATTGTAAGTTACGGTGTCCCAGAATTTTATGTTTTGTGGAAAATGTCATAGGAATGCTATTTTTGTCAAATAAAAACATTAACAACACATTACTATCTTGAATCTTGTCACAAAAAAGAAAGAAAGAGCCCATATTGCTGCATCAAAAAGACATTATTAAATTGAAGAGCTTTGGCTTTGTGATACTTATTTTTCTGAGTTCACTGAGGTTAGGTGAAAACTTGGAAGTCTGCTCTGGTCACTGCCTGAATTTGGCAACCAGTGTTCTATGGAAATGATTAATGTAATTGAGGTACTCTTGAAGGTCTTCTTTGAAGTGCTTTAATTTGAGATGATTGAAGGTCACAGCTATGTTATCACCTCCTCCTTCTTTCTCTACCTGTCTGTGTCCTTTTATTATATTTGAACAGTTCTTTGTCCTGAATTATCCTCTAATGGTTTCACAGATGGATGACTGTCTCCTCCAATTAGATTGTAATGCTAGGTAAATAGAAGGTACTGATAACATTAGTTGAATTTGTTTCTATAGTTCATACCGGTGTACTGTGTAGAGGACCGTGGGTTGTTCACACATTTGTGTATATGTGTGTACTTGTATATTTTAGAAATCAGTTGGAACTATCAATTTACATAGGCACATAAATGAAAAGAGCATGTTTTTGAAGAATTGAGAGTTTTGTAAAATCTGAAAACAAGTGTCTGGGTCCCATCTCCAACTTCGTTTCCATTTCCTAATGAGGCTAGGAAGATTATAATTTGTGATGAGTACATGTGGCCAGGCATTTCGAGCATCTTTACAGTCTGTCATCATTTTTGATGATTTAGTAATAATGTAGGGTGTAGCAAGGTACTTGAGGTTCTCCCACAAAATACCAGAATTGTTTTTCATTTTAATATACTTTTCTAAATTTAAAAATCGTAAAATGTTCCTTAGAGTGACAGATGAGCTTCAATATTTATAACTTTCTGATTGCTCTAGCAGTTTAGGAGAAAATTAAAATGAGTCCTCAAGTAAAATTTAAGTGGAAAAGATTAAAATTCAGAACTATGGACTTTTTTCATTTGAATGAACAGCCATTTTTTTCCCTGGGAAGTTTTATGTGCCAGCCCTAGTTTTCTATATTTGACAGTCCTTGAAAAAGTACTTCATTTCTCTCTCAAAAATATATAAATAGTTTTACTTTTTTGAAAACAAACCCTTTTGGATCAGTACAACTTTCCTCACCCATCTTTTACACTGTCCTTTTGACTGAAAACCAAACGTATGCTCCATCCATCCTCAAAAGGTTCATTTTGGGCACAAGTTGGGAAGCATGTGAGTGAATGAAGTGGAGAGTGACAGAATATCCTTATTGCTAAGATATTTTAAACTGTTGTGGTTTGTGACCTTGTCTTGGTTACTTTTCTCTCGTTGCTGAGACAAAATACCCAGTGCCCAAAATGAAGGAAGGAAAGGTTTATTTAGCTTACAGTTTGTGGAGGTTTCAGCCCATACTTGGCTGGCTCCGAGGCAGAAGGTAGCAAAGCAACAAGAGCAAAGGGGGAAATGGAAGCCGAACAGCAATGCAGCCAGAGCAAAAAGGGAGGAATGGCGGCAAGCAGCTTCTTTCCCTACCTTACATTGTAAACAGACTACCCCCACCTAAGGGGCATGTAGCTCTCACATAATCTCCATGTACTCCTCTTCCACAGGCTCAGGATGTATACAAAGTAAGCACCCTGGCTTCCTGCTGAGTCACTTAGCCAAACCTCTAGACTCCCCAAGTTGACACAATGTATCAACCATAACAGACCTCTACATGGGTGATTTGTGCTCAAAAACTGTCCCATCTTTAACTTCATGAATTCTTTTCATTTTCTGATTTATATATGTTTTAGGAATAAATTAAACCTTATTTCCTTATCGCAAATGCAGTTCTTTAATCACTTACAATTTTGTGATTGGTTTCCTTTCTTCAAATACCATATTTTTTTATAGCTATTTAGCAAAACATTTTAATTATTTTGAGGGAAGAGAGGGTAATGTGACTTCAAGAAGTATGTAATGTAGCTTCATTCTATAAATTCTTACTGCTATAAAAAAAGATTATGGAAGTTACTAAGGAAGCAATGGACACTGTTGACATCAGTGAGGGAATATGAAAGAACAGCCCTCCTTCCATAAAAGCATCACTGTGAATAAAAATTGTATTATATTTCACTAAAATTTTTATATTTTACTAATAGCTTGAACTCACATAGATCTTTTTCTTAGTTTTTCTGGTTAATTAATCCCTTCCACAAATATTCATGTGCTCACCAAACACTGTTCTAGGTACTTGAAATACAGCAACCAGTATCACAGACAAAAAGCTTTGCTATCATGGGATTGGTATTCTAATGAATCCTGTCACTAGTTTATTATTATTTTTCTTGAGCTGATTGAGCTTTACATGAAAGACCCAAGTGCGATATATTGCAGCCTTACTAACAGATGAACAGAACTGAAGAATTCAGGGTTAGATTCACAGGCAAAGGGGTGTGATAAAATGCCCCTGGGGATGGGCATCTGCCCAGTGGCAGATATGTATTATGGTAAAGAGAAACGACCTTGCCATTAACAGAGTAACAGGGGAAACAGGGAAATTGTCAGGATTGTTTGGTGAAGGTACTGTGACTATATCCACCGAGAATTGCATGGAAATGTTCTAAAAGTCAGAATAAAAAAATCATCCTTGCATTTTGTCTATAAGAAAGTTTTATTTAGAACAATATCTGATTTAAAAACTCAAGACTGTCAATTTGGAATTTTGAGGATGGAGTCATTTTAGACAGAGCTGGTTCTAATTACCAATCAGAAGCAGATGGAGTTGGGGTCCCCACCTCCCCTACCTCCTAGTCTTTTCATTCTCCATCTGACTAATTATGAGTCCTGTTACCTTCCATGCTGGGGCAAAAGAACTGGCGGTCCATTCTGTCAACTTGGGCTTACACTCCTACTCTGCTCTTTGGTATTTATGTGGGCAGGAGTGAAACTGCTCACTAAGCATCCACTTTCTCATCTATAAAATAAAGATGATATCAACCTCAGAAGATAAGGTAAAGGCTAAATATAATATATGTGACACTGGTTCAAAAACATAAATAACAAGAATTAGTGTAAACAGTAAAGTTTCTTGAGCAGTGGGATTAAAACTCGGTATCCATCAAAGTTTCTGTCGGATTGCGTCTTTGATGCTAGTGTTTGTGAGGCCGGTTACTCTGCTGACAGAAAGCCACCACCAGCCCAGCCAGGACTGAGGCCCAGTGGAACTTCACTGAGGCTGATGGAAATTTACTCACTCTCGCCAGGCTGGTCCCAGATGGAACTTTATAAGGGACGTACTTCCTATAAATGTGACCAACTCTAGAACACGGGACATCAAACATTTCTCCTCCACACATCCAAACCTGAAGAGGAGAAAACATAATAAAAGAGAATAGTGAGTTTCACACACAATAAAGGAATTATTAGCAGGATTCATGAAACATCTTAAAATCTTTCAAAGTCTCTGAATAATTTGTGGTTTAAGTTGCTAATCAAGAAAACATTTCACATTTTAAAACCTAGATTAATAAGCATGTAGAATCACAATATTAGTTTACTGTCACTTGCCTAAACAATATATTGGCTATTTTTTTTTTTATTCTAGTAGAGTTTTATTACAAATAAAAATTGAGCTGGTATTTAATGCTTAGTACATCACTTTGTATGGATACTTGTTTTGATAATATTGTGAAATCATTGGAAGATATGACACTGGACTTTGTCAATTAGACTTTTGAAATATAAAAAGTGAAACTTCTAAAATAGGTGAATGAATTAAGAAATATGAACACAGCTCTGCAGCACTTAAGCATAGATTCTGAAATTTGTAGTAGCTCTAACCTTGAAAATCACAGTTACATTCTCATTTCTTTCCACCTCCAATCTTTTCTTAGGTACAGATAAAATTAGTAGGTGATGTAGACTCAGGACATTTCAAATCAAAGTGTGTATTAAGATGTTATACCTCAGATTTTATTTATGCTTTCAGATTCTTACCCTAAGGAAACAATATAGTTCTTACACATGTGGGTCTGATTTATTTCACTTATGAGTATGGTCTCCAGTTGCATCCATTTACCTACAAAAGCCTCGAGTTTATCTTTCTTTATAGCTGAGTAATACTCTATTGTATAAAAATACCACATCTTTTTTATCCATTCCTCAGTTGATGGGCATTTGGGTTGTTTCCAAGATTTTGGTATGACAAATTGTGTTGCTATAAACATGGTTGCTCATATATCACTGTGGTATGATGTTTTTAATTCTTCTGGGAAAATTCCTAGGAGGGAAATAGCTGGGTTAAATGAGACATGCAATCCTAATTTTTTGAGTAATCTCCAGACTGATTTCCAAAGTGGTTGTACCAGCCTATACTGCCACCATCAGTGAAGAAGGGAGCTCAATAGGAAAGAACAACTAGGATGAGGGAAAGGTGAAAAGAAAGGAGGAAAGGGAAAAATATATGTACATATACACAAAGCAGCTAAGATAATTAGTCTACTAATTTCTATTGGTTTGTTGAAAGGAATAGTTAATATTTAATTGTTTGAGCAATCTGGCACACCTATATCTGGTAATCTGAGCAACTACTTTGAAGTTAACAATAAATAATACAACAATTATTGTTGATTTCCTATCATCTTGTTTTGAAATTCTGTATCACTCTTATAGTTTTTGTGTTGTTTTGTTTTTGTCTTTGTTTTTCTTATTTTGTTTTTGTTCTTTTCTCTTTAAAATAAAAAAATGCTATATTTAAATATAGTAACAAAAGAGAATTGGTTATATTTTACCATGATTGTCCACTCAGGCAGACATACAACTGTATAACAGACTATGGTGCTATGAAAGGGCTAATTATTAACATATAAATCTTGGCTTCATATAGGCTATTATTTTCTTAGCAAGAATGAGGATTTTAAAAGGAGATACTGTGATGGTAAGTTATATGTGTCAACTTGACTGAGGTGTGGTGACTGGATATTTGACCAAAACATTACTCTGGATGTTTCTGTGAAGGTGCCTTTTTGGATTAGATTGACTCGCTTTTTTAAAATACTGATTGATTGATTGTACATGTTTGCAGTGTATGCAGTTTACAACCATGTTGGGGAGGTGGGTACAGGTACATAATACAGCTTGCTTCTTTAAAAAAAAAAATCCCCTTCCTCTTTCTTCCCCCTTCATTTGCTCCTTCTCTGATTCCTCTTTCTCCATTTTCATTCTTGTTGATCTTATTAATCTTAGCTCATATGTGGCACACAATGTTTACATTGCTTGAAGTTATTAGGTTCCTGTATGTGGCATATCTTTATTCTATTTATTTTCCCTTTTCTTCCCTTCATTCCTTGCCCTTCGTCTGTTGGACCCCTTCCTGTTTACAAGAAATCCAATCCCTGTCTCCTTCTATCCATCCTTTATTAATCTTTTTGTTTGTACTTTGCCTTACTCAAATGAGAGATATCATATAGTATTTAAACTTGCATGTCTGGTTTATTTCACTCAAATTATATTTTCCAGGGGCACTCATTTTCCTACAGAAGTCTTAAATTTGTCTTTCTTTATAATTGAGTAGTATTCCATTATGTATACATAAAACAATTTCATTATCCAAATATCTGTTCATGGCTATACAGGCTGCTTTCAGGATTTAGCTATTATAGATGGTGCTGCTATAAACACTGGTATGCATGTACTGTTGTAGTGTGATGTCTGAAGCTCTCTGGGGAAGACACCTAGTAGGGGGATAGGATGGATCAAAAGGAATTTCTAATTTTAGTTCTTTGAGACACCTTATAGTCTCAAAATCACTGAACACTGAGCAAAGTGCATTATCCTCCATAATGTGGTTGTCCTCATCAGGGAGGGTATGGTGGTGACAAAACCAAGACTGACTTCCACTGCGGAAGAAGGAATTCTGCCTACTTTTGAACTTGAACTGTGCTCTTCCCTGTGCCTCCAGACTGCCAGCCTACTCTGAACATTTTGTACTTCCAAGTCTCCACAACCATGAGAATCCATAAGTATTTCCTAAAATAACTCTCTTTTCTCTCTTAGTGTTGTTTCTATAGAACTCCTACTTCAGATCCATAGCTTGGTTTCAAAGTATAATATTGAAAAAGAGGAAAAGAAATGTAACACTTTCCTCCAACTCCTTTCATCAAGAGGAATAACATCTCGGTGAGACTGGTTGAAAAATCAGTGGCTAAGGTCAGTGGAGGTGCAAGGGGAAGCAATGCAATTACAAAAACCCTGCTTGGTTGCTTTAAGCCAGTTCAGGGCTACTCATAGTGCTAAGTGCGAATTGATAGGAAATTTATTAATGACACATCAGGAGTGCATGAGGATGATGTCAAGCTGACAAGGGCAGTGAACATTCTACTCGACAGTGTCTATATCTGGAAAGATCTAAGATTAAAGATTAAACACAAAAAGGATCAGTGTAGTATGCTGTTCCAGGGTCTTTCAGGAAAAGTTCAACTGTTCTAGAGCAGGAGACATAGGAAAAAACCAAGTAGCACAACACACACATCACAAATGGATTATAGATAGTTTAGGGTTCAAGGGCCTCTATCTATCTGTAGGCTTGGAGTCTTGGGCTAATTTCTGGGTAAATATCTTTTATACCACTATTAAGGGGATTACCAAAGTAGGAAAGGAGAAATAACAAAAAAACTGAAGATGTGCAATCATAATAATATAAAATTCCAAGAAACCCTTTTTAAATATTTGAAGGACCTAATAATATTTGGGAGAGATGTTTTCTAGAATCTCAGGAAGATTGTGTGCTGAAAGATTTATAGCATAGAGCTATAAGAGGATAGGTTTCAACCTAAGGAAGGAAGAAATTTTTACTAGAACAGTTAAATATGAAATGCACTTCCTGTACTGTTAAATGTGTTAAAACCTGCAGTAGATGACTTTGGAGATGAGCACAAAACTTGGATGTATAGCTGATCTACCTGATTTTTTAAAGTAATTCTATTAATAAGAAGTAGCATTATGAATGTTTATTGTGACATTTTCATGGATTACTTTACTGAAAAACAGACTTCATTATTTCTCCAATTATATAGGTAGGAAAATGGCTAAGTAGTTGTTCCAAACCATAAAACTGGTCACCTCCAGAACAGAGATTTGAAATCTAGTACTATAAATCTAGTGCCCACCTGCTTGATCAATATTTTATCTGTAGAGTTGGCAAACTTGGTCTGTAAAGGACAAGATAATGAATTCTTTTGCCTTTGTAGGCCAGATGGTCTCTTTTAAATAACTCTGCTAACAAATAAGCATGAGTATATTTCAGTAAAACTATTTACAAAACCATACAGTGGGCTATAGTTTGCTGAAATACCTTCAATCACTGACATTTAGTGATTCTAAAGTAATTTATGTAAGAAATTCTGCTTTTGAAAATTGGACACCATAGTACAAGGGTGATTGAAAAATACAGTGGAGATTTAAATTACTAAATTTATTACAGTAAAAGACACATTGCTAATAATCCCCCTTGGAATACTCCTCATTTTTAACCACACTTATGCCATCATTTTTGCCACTTTTTGAAGCACTTCAAAAAGTTCTTCTCTGGAAGTCTTCTTTTGTGTCTCTGAAACGTGAAAAACTGTTGCTGCCTAGAGCCATCCAATGGCAAGGCCACCTTGTTAAAACATTACAGTGTGTTCTCATCCCTTTTATTCACTGGATCTGGCCCTGTGCTACTTCCTGCTCTTCTGCAAAGTCGAAATGACCACGAAAGGTTATCACTGTGAATCAACTGAAACTTCAAGGCAGCTGCAACAGTGCAAGTAAGGACACTCATGAAAAAGGTCACTGTTACCTAGATATTAAAAAATGCTTTCTGTATCAGCTTCCTACTGATGTGTAATAGATTACCACAAACATAGTGGATTGAGAGAATATGGATTTACTATCTCTCGATTCTGCAGGTCACAAGTCCACGTGGGCTCATCTGGGTTCTCTACCCAGAATCTCACAACACTGAAGTCTCCATGTCTGCTGAGCTGAGCTCTTATTTGGAAGCTCTGTGGAAGCTTCTGCTTCAGAGCTAGTTTAGAGTGCTGGCAGAATTTAGCGTGTGCAATTGTAGGGCCAAGATTCTCATTTTCTTGCTGACTACTGACCAGGGACCACTTTTAGCGACTAGAAACCATTTCATTTATTTGCCCCCGGATTCTCCATCTCAGCAAAGGCCTAACCTCCTATGGTTACTTCACGGTCACCGTCTTCATTTCCTCTTCTTAAAGCAAGCTGATTAGTAACCTTACATTTACCCACCTTCTTTTAAATGTAATGTAACAGTTATATGAGCAAACTAAGGAAGAGCAGCAAGTTAGAATTTTGC